TGGATGTTTAGTAAAGCAGATTACCCTCCATAATGTGGTTGGAGGCCTGAAGAGAAAGAAGACTGACTTCCTTGAGAAAGGAGGCATTTTACCTGCGGTGTTTCTTCAGACTTGAGCTGCAACACCAACCCTTCCCTGGGTCTCTTGTCTGCAGGCCTACACTGTCACGGACACAACCCTTAGAACTTGTGCTTGCTGGCCTCTGTGTTGCATGCATCAATTCCCTAAAATAATTTCCTTCTCTCTTTTTCAAGGTCTCTCTGTCTCTGTCTACACACACGCGTGCGCGCACACACACACACACACACACCCTGTTGATTCTATTTCTCTGGAGAACCCTGACTAATACAGTCAGGATTAATGATCTACTTCTGGCCAAACTTCATCTATAACTCTGCATGTTAGAGTTTAAAGTGAAACAGTCTTCATGAGGAAAGAAAAAAAAAAATGGAAATTCAAAAACAAGGAGGCATGATTTTATTATTGTCCAATAGCTAACCCCTCAAATAGAAGATCTCACTGTATCAGAGCTTAGTCACCTTTAGGAGCAGATCCAGGTTTGTGTGTATACGTTGGGAAGCTTTCTTTCAGAGAATATGAAAGTATTACTGCTAAATTAGGTATGGGAGTGAATATTTATTTAGGTTGAGAACAAAATCACAACAACTTCCAAGACTTTAAAGGCTAACAGAAACTGTAAACATAACAAAATCCACAAAGAAAACATACTTTTAATTAATTGCCTGATATACCAGCACCGTATATAGTTTTTTGGAGTATGTTTTTATTATTACCACTTCAGAAAAGAAAGAATTTAGTCTGTAGATTTCAAACCCTGTTTCTTCTCCACTACCAAACTTCTGTGCCAGACACTGTTAGGTACATTAATGTGGAGATAGGACCTTGACCTCTGCCTTCCTGGCACAATGCGTGTGTGTGCATAGTGTTTACTGGAAAGATGCATTTCTGAAACCTTTTCCTTTTGTGGAATAACTTAACTATAAATCAGTGAGACTGAAAACGTGTAAATATATCCCCTAAAAACGCCCAAAATGACTTCCTGACTTAACTTTTCCTTATCAGAGTCTAAAAATGCACAGCCACTCCCGTGCCACCATATACGAGGGGACATGTGATAGAGGGGAATTCATAATGGAAAGGGACACTTACCCTAAGATAAGCTAAAATATTCTCGTTTTGTAAATTTTATCAAAACAAAAACATGATTATGTGAACTGGGTAAACGAGAGGCCTCAAAGCATAAGCCTTTGGCTACCATAATTATGTGTACAACATTCTTCTCTTTTCCTGCTTCTAAATAATTTTTCACAGAATCACTTATTAATGTAAATTTATTAATATATTTTCGTGCTACTGGGATAATGTGTGAAATTTTCCATAATTAACTGTAAATATTTATACTGTGAGTGTGGGAACTACACATGAATAGGAAATGAAATATCTTTAAATCATAAATTTGCAATGAATATTTTAGAGCAGTATAATTGAATCTTGCTTATAATTATGGTAGACATACAATAATGGCTGTGTTTTTCTTTGAAATAGTTTTTTCTTTTTCACCCCTGGAAGGGCAGAGGAAAAGAACAAGAAAAAAGTGAAACAGGCTAGCTTTTATCAGGGGAGGCTGACTTCAGAAATAAAATATGTACTGGAGCCATTCACAGCTAGAACTGATTTCAAAATGAAATTACCATTGGCTTTCAAATGGAAATTTCAGGGAGAAGATGTTAATAAAAATGTAATGGTTATAATGGCAACTGTAATGATGATGATGCTATGTGTGTGTTGTTAGAAGAGTGATTATCATAATCTCTGACACTTTTTTTAGTCCATAAAGAGGTAGATTAAAATTGGTACTTACAGAGATCATAATTTATTCACTTTTCCCTAGCTCATTAAAATGACTTTGCCATTATTTTGAAATTCTCATCGTATGATGGGGCCATGCACATATGGCACAGACAATCAGACTGACAGGAACTTTTAGGCAGTTCCAATTCTGCTTTCATTATTCACAGGACTAAAGACTCTCTTTATAAAATCAGTTACTTGGCATTTTCTCATTGATTCTGAAAGAGGTTTATGTATGAATATGCATAGGAATCTGTGGCTGGCTGGTATATTGGTGCTCCCCCCAACCCCCAGGAAAAAAGACAGCTATGCCTCTCAGTACTAATGCCCCTGTGTAGCCCCCTTCCATAGAACTATGGGCGTGACCGTGTAACTTGCTGTGGTCAATGGACATTAGCAAATGTGACCCAAGCAAGTTTGTTGAGGGCTTGCACTTAAGTTGTGCAACTTAAGTGGTCCTTTTGAAAAACTTCACTTTGGGACCCAGATATCATTCTACAGGGAAGTCTAGGCTATATTGCTACAGAGAGATGACATGGGGAATGGGCCTGGATGGGGAGACACAGCAAAGAGAGAAAGGCCACTTGGAAGAAAACCAAGGTCTCCCAGCCAGGTTTCCAGTTAACTCCATGAAAGACCTCCCCTGACACTACACGGAATAGAACCACCCAGTCATTCCACAGAAATGGGACAGATAACACATTATTGTGGTTTTAAACTGGTAAGTTTTTGTTTGTAAAGCAGCAATAGATAAAGGAAATGATTATAGAGAGATTTTTTAAAACCATTTCACTTGTATATGAAAGTCTGAAAATGATTTAAGTGAAATTAGAGTCTTATTAAGTTGAATGCCCATAAAATGATGTTTATTCAGCCATTTACATGTACAGCCTTATGATTTTGATAGCTAACATTTATTAATTACTTTCTGTATTTGTATATTAGTCATTAACATTTTATTTATTAAAATTATTAAATTTTACTAATTTATTATAATAAATTAATTTATTATTAGTTAAAAAAATCTACACAACAATTGTATGTAGGTGCTGTGTTTGTTCCCATCCTGTAGATGGGGAAAATAAGACTTAAAGACAGTAAATATATTGCCTAAAGTTATACGGGTACCTACAGTGTGTGGAAGATATAACAAAGAATTATAAAATGCAGTCTGTATGCAGTGGAATGTACGGTTTTTAGAAAGGTCTATATCCATGAAATTATTGTAAGAAGAGATGACACTATTATATTAAACAGTGTGGTGCTAGTTAAAAGTATTTTGAATCAGAATGACACCAGTTTATTTTATTTTATTTTATTTTATTTTATTTTATTTTATTTTATTTTATTTTATTTTATTTTATTT